ATGATGTTCATATTTGGGTGAAACAGCCAATTACCTCAAACAGGTCTTCACACTTTAGAGCAGTAGTAGCTGCGATAATGCTTTTTGGCTATCAACTTCACAAAATAAGTTTAGGTGACCTCGTCATGCTTGGGAAGAGATTCCGACAAATCTGGTGTTTCTCTATCTAATTATGGTGATAAAAACCCACCCATTTACAATCATTAAGGCATACGATATCACCGTGTTACACTCGGCTAGTTTCACGATCACCGTAAATGAGTACAATTAGTTGATTATCACGGTCTGGACTGTCACCTTACGATTAATCATAGTTGTCCTGGTTGATACAAAGTGATAACTTAATTATAGCAATGCTGAAATCATCACATAATAAGAAATCAAATATCTAAGCTATGGAATCGCCTTTAAGATGTCATCTGTGGCCAAGCCTCTCGTTGCCGCCTCCAAACACACAAGAGATGAAATATGGTTTGCATGTTTCCTGATTACTCGACAGGCGGGCCAACTGGTTCGAACTTCAGTACACTAATGAAGTCGTCGGGAATAAAAAATTTCAATTGAATAAATGGAAGTGATATTTTATGGAACTCAGTATTCACCTTGGGATTGGTGGACTATCTACCCACTGATGTAGAAATAATGCGTTCATAACGGAATGTAGACGATAAATTCGCCCATGGCAACGAAAAGCCTGGTGACAACGGTGCACCTCGACTACACCGACGACTGTCGCTGTAATAGATCCCATCACCTAGCAGATTGCTTATTAAAAAATACAAAATCAATATTGACGTAGATGGTGTATGCGAGACAACGAAACGAATGAAAAAATTCTGAGGTCCAGACAATTCAAACCGGCTTATATAAACAGATTAAAAATGACAAAATGAACGAAATATTACAACCCTTCGATAAAGGATAAAAAGGATAGAGTTCTCCGTGTTGATCTATCCCTGAAAGTTGTGTCATGCAATCCACATTATTAAGAGATCATTAGGGGATCACTGGAGGAGGATTAGGGATTTTGTATCCTATGCGTGCCTAGTGTGGTGCTTCGTCTTAGTTTCGTTTGCCATCTAGGTGTTCTTTTATACGGATACACAAAGGTCTGTCCGTTTCGCCAATATATTCATCTTCGCAATTATTACAAGAGATCAGGTATATCGTACCTAAACTCATGCAATCACCGTCCCTGCCGTAAGAGCGTGTGCAGCACAGTGGTTAGAAGAGTTCTGAAATAAACACGTGGTCGTCTATTCGGTCACTCCTTTGGCGGATAAAGCAAGCCTTCCCATCGTCGTGGAAACGGCCATTAAACTTGTGTAGGAGGATAGAAACACTATGTAGGTCCCTACATGTTGTTACTGGGTAGGATAGTTAGATTGAGCTTGGTCATCTACACATGCCCAATGTAGTAGAAAGCACGGTGCATCCCTAAAGAGATTGACCAACACCGTACGTTTTATCCCC